CTGTAATAAAGTTTCTACTATGACATTATATAATAAAAAAAAAAAAAAAAAAAAAAAAAAAAAATATATATATATATATATATATTATACTTATATTATATACAATTTTTAATTGAAAAACAATGTATTATGCGAATGATTTTTAAATGTTTAAGCCATTGTTTTTTTTCATTTGTATGAATTAATTTCATCTCAATTTTTTCTAATGGCTTAAAATTTTTTCCACATTTTTTACTCATTTAAAATTTTTTTTATTTTGTTGGTCTTCAAGAATTTCAAGAGTTTCTTGGTTGCATTTATTAGTTGATTATACAATTCCTCTGAATCTTGCATGTCTTCTGCGTTTTCAGTAGCTTTAATACTTTCAGTTACTTTAGCATTTTCAGTAGCTTGAATATTTTCAGTGACTTCAGCACTTTCAATAATTTCAAAACTCATTGGATTATAAGAAATTAATTGTTTAATATTACTAGTTTGTATAAACGAAGTGCTAATAAATAGATATTGATGATAACGATAAACTTTATTAAAAAATTCAATCAGCATAGTTCTTTTTTGTTGAACAAGGTGTTTACAAATAAGAAAATGGCTTGTTAAAAAAGATAAACATCCACATATCCAATCTGATATATTAGTAAAATAGGTATTTTGAATTACACAAGCTTCTAATCTTTTCTATTCTTTTTTGAAAGCTTTGTGCCATTCTGCCTTTTCAATACCAATTAGAATTTGGTCAAATTTTCTTTGTTGCTGTGGAATTACTTGCGTCATAATAGTAAAAACTACTAAGTCCAAATGTGAATAAAAGAACTTATACAGAAAATCATGTTTTAGTACTTTCTAGTGGGACTCTACAAATATATTTGTTTTAAAGATTAAAATTTTTGTACTATAACCTGCATATAACTATAAGCTCCAGCATTTTGAACAATACCATTCATTCCATAAATATACCCATAGGTATATCAATGAATTTTGTTGGCAAAAAGTGTAAATTTCTTGTACAGACATTGTTCAAATTTCCTGTGCTGTTAGATATTGGCTATTATTGGTAGGTATTAGAGAATATAAATATAAATTTTAATTCATCATCTCCCATAGCTCCACGAAATTGCTTAGGGCAAAAAATATAATTTGTAGTATTAAGTTGTGGACAAAATCTAGAATCAATAAAATGAAATTGATTATGTGCTATTTGACTATTATAATTAATTTGCTTTGGTTTAGTATTATTTGAAACTCTAGTCTTGATAGCTCTTTTAATATGCCAGAGGCATATTTGAATTTTAATATTTTTCTATACAAATTTAGTAGCTGATATTTGAGAAAAATCTTTGTCTGTCAAGAAAAATTTAGGATTAAGCCCAAGCAAATATAATTCATAAAAAAGTCAACCAAAACACCTATT